CTGTGGGGGGGGGGAGAGAAAGGGGAGAGAGGAGTTGGGTTAATATCCTGAGGGTGTATCTTTTTTAAAAAGTCTATTTATCTGTCTGTCTATTTATTGTTCTTTATTTAGTTGTTTGGTTCAAAGTCTTGGGTCAGGTTTCCATCTGTTTTGTGTGTTTTCTTTGTTTTCTTTGAGAGGTTTCATTAGCATTGTATTGTCTTTGATGTAAGCGATGATAAGGATAATGGCGGTGAAGGGAAAAGTGATTATGGTAACAGTGGGGTGGCTGAATGTGTATATCTATGTTCGTATACATCAGTATTTCTATGCATTAGCGTGTATGTACACATGCGTTATTCCATACGCTAGCACCGGCATAGACCACGCCGGTACTCTCTCACATAGATATAAGACAGGTGAAAATATTTGTTACATCAACACAAAACAAAACAAGATAAGAAATAAAACAAACAAAAACTTCAGTATAAACCCTCTGTTCCCACACAAAACAAGAATAAACAACAACAAATTCATCTGCCAGGGACACCCCTCCCGCCAGCGCACGAATGGCCGTCCAGCTCCCTTTTCTGGAACCGAATTACGTGTTTCAAATTTCGCCGTGTTCGAGAGGCTTTAATTCATGATCGTGTGTGTGTCGCATTTCATCACCGTTAATCATAATTAGTGGATGTTTTTGTCTCCGTTAATAGGGCCTGGGTTCTAGATATTCGTGTATGTGGAGGTCCCTTGCATGATATTTGCATGGTAATATTCATTCGTAATAATTTCTTTTCTTTTCGGTTTTGACAATAGCATAATGATTATTTTATTTCGCTTTTTATTTATGTATTTATCTATTTTTTAATACTGGTAATTATTATATTAATTCCACGGGTGAAATATTATGAAACAAATGTATATGAATATAAATGTTCAGTGTAGTTGTGGAATTATTATTACCTTCCTTTTATGAAACGTGTCAAATACATTCGATATAAATGTGGACCCTTTTCTAACGTTTTAAAATCATCGTATGTTTACTGAATTATTAAAATGAATTGGAAAAAAATATATACATACGTATATGTATTAATTCCTTTGTTCCCCTTGCGGTCTCATAACCAAAACTGTTATTGTAAAATTACGTAATGGCCATTCGAATGAATGATATTTAATATGTTGCGAGATTTTTGAGACAGTAAACAAACAAACGGGAGAGGAAATAAAGGGAGAAACAACAAAAGTGTATTTGTAAAATAATCATCATCATTGCTATTATTACTGCTATTAATGTTGCAAAAATAGAAAGTATAATCAATGTTACAATAATGTAATGACTAGTACTAGTACTATTACAACTCCAGCTATTTATTAGCACTACTCTACAGTTACTATGACTATAATTCCTGCTACTACTACAACAACTGCTACTACTGTTATTGCTATTGCTATTACTGTCAACAATGATAATACTATGACTGCTACTACATCTACTACTGCTACTGCTATTTATGTTCTACTACTACTACTACTATTACTATCATTACCATTACTATTACTACTATTACTACTACTGCTACTACTGAAACTATTACTATTGCTACTTCTACTAATATTACTGCTATTGCTACTACTACTCTTACTACTACTATTCCTATTTCTACTATTACCACTACTACTACTGCTGCTCTCATTATTACTACTATTACTACTACTACAATTACTGCTACTGCTGATATCATCACATTATGTAACGAAGTTAACAATCTGTGATGGGGTAATAATAATTTACGAGACCAAGTCATCACAGGTCATAGGTCAGATTACGATCAATTAATAGGTATAAGGAAAATTTAGTATCACAGAATGGCCCTGTTAATGCTACCCTTATTTCATTTCCTCTGACGTTAGCGCTAGTTTCTTTCTGCTAATATTAGCAAGTCCTTGCTGTGTTTAGCGAGTCTCTTTTACTACGTTTGTGTGTGTGTGAAAGCACGTCCTTCATTGCAAATGCTAATAGAACGTATTCGTTAAAGATAATGACACTCGTTTTCTGTTCGTCTTTGTGAAACTCTGGCTTTGCTGCAGCTTATAAAAACACCGACTATGTCAAACTTAGCGACACTGTTTTCTACAAAGTTGTGCAAAGCTTGAGAAAACGGCTGCTCCCGCTAAAGTTAGCGAAAAAGTCTCGCCTTTCTGAGTGCTTGCTAATCTTAGTAAAGGTATGCTTCCGCATTGCTTAACAAAGGAGATTAACGCTTAAACTAACAAAGACAGTGCTAAATCGGTGGAGGAGCTATCAACGCTATCATCATCTGTACATGTGATAACTATTCTTATCTTTCTTTAGAGGAAACGAAATACTCCTGTGAATGTCAGAGGAGCAGACCTTTATTTGATTAGGAGGATAAGAAAGTCTTACCTGCCACGTGTATATATATTCATACACACACACGCACACACACACACACACACACACACACACACACACACACACACACACACACACACACACACACACACACACACACACACACATATACATATATATATATATATATATGTGTGTGTGTGTGTGTGTGTGTGTGTGTGTGTGTGTGTGTGTGTGTGTGTGTGTGTGTGTGTGTGTGTGTGTGTGTGTACGTATGTATGTGCATTGATCGACATCAATCCGACACGAGGGTCAGAGGCCGAACGAGCGAGCGGGCGCGCGGGCGGGCACGGCGCCTTCCCCTCTCCGGCCCGGCGGTTCCACAGCCTGACCACGCACAAAGGGCTGGCGGCTTATTAATTAACAGACAAGAAACTTGCGCCGTGAACCGCATTGCCATTCTGACCACGCGGACGAGAGCAGCGCCCAGGGTCTGTGCTTCATGTGCTGCAGTTAGGGCGAGTAGCAGACAGGCAGGGAAGGAGAAGAGCAGTAACGGGTGAGTAGGCAGAGATGATGACTGCCAAGCATTAGGAGCAAGCAAGCAGGCAGGCAAGCAAGCAAGCAAGCAGGCAGGCAGAGAGGATCAGGAGGCTAAAAGGAGAGCGAGCGTACAGGGAGACGTGAGAATGTGAAATATTCTGCTGGAGAATTCTGCAGATGTTCCATGTTCTTTGGCTGCGCGATGTAATTACTTTCATTATATTTTCCTTGTTGTCTTTCTCCCCTCGATCTTCTCTCTTGTGTTTTCCCCTTCCTCTTTATTCACGTTATGCTTTTGTCTTTACAGCGTTTAATAACATGTACTGAATCTTAAAAAAAGACCATAGCAGAGGGAATATTAAGACTTACTAATGATGCATATAAGCGTGGGTGTATGCAGGGAAACAATATTGTATATATGTATGCAGGGAAAAACTATTCACACACACACACACACACACACACACACACACACACACACACACACACACACACACACACACACACACTCACTCACTCACACACACATACACACACACACATACACACACACACAGACACACACACACACACACACACACACACACACACACACACACACACACACACACACACACACACACACACACACACACACACACATACATACACACACACACACACACACAATAATGATAATAATAATAATAATAATAATAATAATAATAATAATAATAATAATAATAAAAGCAAGCACTAAATCAACGTTGATAGATAGAGGTTGTAGATATTAACTGAGGAGAGAGAGGAGAGAGAGGGAGAAGGAAGGAGCGAGAAAGAGGGCGAATAAAAGAAAGCGGAAAATAATGGAGTGACAGAGAGAGATAGAGAGTGGGGGAAAGGAAAAAGGGAAAGAGAGAAAGCGAGATTGAGACAAAGACAGATAGAGAGACAGACAGAAAGATAGACGGACAGACAGACAGACAGACAGCAGACAGACGGATGGACGATGGACGGACGGACAGATAGAGAAGTTAACTAGTAAGTAAACCCAGTAATTACAAACAGATACCCACCATATATAATATATATATATGTATATATATACATATATATATATATATATATATATATATATATATATATATATATATATATATATATATATATATATATATATATATATATATATACACACATATATATACGCATATATTGAAATAGGAAATTATAGAAGAAGTGAATTCAGGAATTGCCATTATTTGGAACGACATTTGGAAAACAGAGTAATAAGCAACGGTATTACGTCAACAAAACTGACCGAAAAGTGGTCAGTTATTTTAATGCAGAACCAAAAAGACAAATGCATTATTTTACGCGTAAATGCAAGAATGATATTCTCTATGTGTTTATTTTTCCCCTCATTTTGATTTCCCCTTTTCTTGCTTTGTATCTTATTTTTATTTAAAAGAGAGAGATGGAGAGAAAAGAGAGAAAGAGATAGACAGATAGATAGATAGATAGATAGATAGATAGAGAGAGAGAGAGAGAGAGAGAGAGAGAGAAGAGAGAGGGTTAGAAAGAGAAGAGCAAAATAGAGATAGAGAGAGAGAAAGAAAGAGAAAAAGAGAGAGAGAGAGATAAAGAGATAGATAGATAGATTAATAGATAGATAAATAGATGGAAGAAGAGAGAGAGAGAGAGAGAGAGAGAGAGAGAGAGAGAGAGAGAGAGAGAGAGAGAGAGAGAGAGAGAGAGAGAGAGAGAGAGAGAGAGAAGGCACACACGCCCTTTAATTTCTTTCTCCCTTTCTCTCTCTCTCTCCCTCTTTCTCCCTTCCCCTCACTCCCCCTCTCTCTCTTGTTTTTATTCAATATCTCTCCCTTTCCCTCCCCCCCTCTCTCTCTCTTGCTTTTTTTCAATCTCTCTCCCTCTCCCTTCTCCCTCTCTCTCTCGCATTTTTTTTCAATCTGTCAATCTTTCCCCCCTCTCTCTTTCTCCCTCTCTTCCTCTTCCTCTCTCCCAACACTCACAAACGCACTCCGAAATATCCCAGCAGATAAAAGCAAGCCGACCGGAAGCACATTATTGGAACATAATGTAATCTCATGTCATTATCGGT